ACCCAGGTTGTGTGTGTGTGTGTGTCTGTACGTTTATATATTGGATCGGATTTCCTACATTTTTCAACCGATTTCAACAAAACTTCAGAGGACTATGTAAAATTACCTTGCGGTGGTTCTGACAGCGCCAAAAATTGGAAAAACACAATTGTTTTTGCAGGAAATCAATTTAAAAACATGATTAAGAGGCATCGTGAGAATGAAAGGGGGACAACTCATATCGAGTTATACTTATTATAAAACCCAGGTTGTTTGTGTGTGTGTGTGTGTGTGTGTGTGTGTGTTCATTTATATATGGGATCGGATTTCCTACATTTTTCAACCAATTTCAACAAAACATCACTTTTTTTTTGGCAGGTAGTGTTTCTTATTGTCTTGCACACTTTTTTCTTTATTTTTACATTCAGAATGCTTTAAAAATTCCATTTACAAGGCAATTGTTTATAATAAAATTCTATTCAATCGGTAGACTCATAACGATTGAAAACAATGTTTTTGTTTGAGTTTGGGTTTGACCAATTCGTAAAAAAAAGAAATAAAAAAAACTAATTAAGACATGCGTGTCTGTCAACCTTAAACAATAATTTTTGTCAATTTTATTTTTCAGTCTTTATGAGGGTCGATACTTGATCTATCTCTTACTGTTACATCCCCGGGCAATGCCGGGCTCTACTGCTAGTCTTAAATAATTGTCAGACTTAATCCATTTCATTATATATATATATATATATATATATATATATTTGTCAGACTTAATCCATTTCATTATATATATATATATATATATATATATCGAGTATGGATGGGAATCCAACATAATGATAGGATAAAGAACAAGTAGGAAACAAGCCTTAATCTAACATATTTTACTTTATTAAAGTTTCATCAGAGATCAAAATAGAATTGATAAAAAGCAAAGAGACACAGATTAATGGTATATTGTGACTGGCTATTTATTGGGTAGATACGTGTCACGTGTAATAAAGTAACAGATAATATTTAAATGTGTGTGGCAAACTTTCTCGAAGCTAAAGTGTGTAAAAGTTACTAAGATGCAGTAGGATGTTTTGATTGAATGCATTTCATGTGCAATGAAGTAACGGATAATATTCAGATATGTGTCAGAAAACATTCTGGCTGCTAAAAAGTGTGTAAAAGTTAGTGATACGCTACAGGATGTTTTGAAAAATTTTGTTTTGGTTTGATTTGCTATTAAAGCATATCTTGTGCGTATTTTGTCGATAAAAATCAATGAAGATTTATACATTAAACTGTATCTTTGATTTTATCATTTTTCATCATTTCTATCTTGATCCTTGATCGCTGACAAAGCTTTAATAAAGTGAAACATATTAGATTAAGATCTGTTTCCTACTTGTTCTTTATCATATATATATATATATATATATATATATATATATTATATGTGTTATATAAGTATTATATATATGTATTATGTATGTATTATATATACATAGGTAATTATACATATATGTATTAATATTATGAATTATATATATATTATATATACATATGTAATTATATGTATTAATATTATGAATTATATATATATTATATATACATATGTAATTATATGTATTAATATTATGAATTATATATATATATATATATATACATAGGTAATTATACGTATATGTATTAATATTATGAATTATATATATATTATATATACATATGTAATTATATGTATTAATATTATGAATTATATATATATTATATATACATAGGTAATTATATGTATTAATATTATGAATTATATATATATATTATATATATACATAGGTAATTATACGTATATGTATTAATATTATGAATTATATATATATATTATATATATACATAGGTAATTATACGTATATGTATTAATATTATGAATTATATATATATTATATATACATATGTAATTATATGTATTAATATTATGAATTATATATATATTATATATATATAGGTAATTATATGTATATGTATTAATATCATGAATTATATATATATATATTATATATACATAGGTAATTATACGTATATGTATTAATATTATGAATTATATATATATTATATATACATAGGTAATTATATGTATATGTATTATATATGTATTAATATATATTATATATACATAGGTAATTATATGTATATGTATTAATATTATGAATTATATATTATATATACATTTTTTTTAAGCATTTCACCCCAAGCAAGTTGGGAAGCCACTAGCACGCATGGGGTTACAGAGAGTTGGAGCGAGAGCAAAGGGGAGTGATAGAGGAAAGGATGAAGAGAAAGATAGGGGATAGATCAGGGCTTCAGGAGACGTCGATTGACATTACATTTGAATAGTTGGAGATTATAGCTATCATGGAAACAAGAAATGGGGAGGGAGTTCCACAGGCGAGAAGTGTGAGACATGAAGCTATTGGAGTAGAAGAGATGGCTATGTCTAAGTTTAGACAGTGAAAGGGTGTAATTATATATATATATATATATATATATATGTATATGTATTATATATGTATTAATATTATGAATTATCATGTCTGATCCTTACCCCTCTCCTCCTCAATATTAATTATTATAATAAAAATAAAAATAGATTTTAAAACTCTCCCTTCCCTCTCTAATTTCAACCATGTCACTCACACTATCCCTCACCACCCTCTATGTAACCTTATATAGGCTTAATACTGCCCTTCAAAAGTGTAAATCTGAAATTCATTTTTTCACCCTTGAAAGTGAAGTCTGAAGATCCAGAGAAAAATAAAATCTCTGGTGAAATAAATTATAACGATGGAAATTTAAAGTGGTCTGTTTTATATATATATATATATATATATATATATATATATGTCTATTCCTCATCCTAGGAATATAGACATAAATTAATTATAGGCATTCTGAAGCATTTTGGTAATTCTTTAGTTGTTCACTTAAACAGACAGCCACCTGAGGCTCAAATGTCCTTTTTGAACATCCATTTAATCTACAGGGTATACCTAAATTCTGGATGCATAGGCAAAAATGCATACTTTCAATAAATTAACTTTCCAACAACGTTTTATTGAATTGCAATATTAACAAATAACATCATCAATATGATTTCCATCATTTGTGACACAAACGTTTGATAGATTCATGTGAACTGAATACAATAATTCTACAATACCATCAATTTTAGCACATTCGCTCTTTATGTCTGTCTGCACTTCTGAGATGATTTATTGTAACTATTTACATTTTTTGGAATGTTCTCCTCATCTTTACTGTCATATTCACGACGTTTCAGCCATTGAATGCTCCAGCCTTGTTCAGGATTTGTCTATATGTCTGAGATGATTTATTGTAACTATTTACACTATTCAGACTGTTGTCCTCATCTTTACTGTCACGTTCATGACATTTGGCTGTTGTACACTCTGGCATTCTTCAGGATCTGTCTATATGTCTGAGATGATTTATTGTAACTCATTATTCAGACTGTTGTCCTCATCTTTACTGTCACGTTCAGGATCTGTCTTCATATGTCTGAGATGATTTATTGTAACTATTTACACTATTCAGACTGTTGTCCTCATCTTTACTGTCACGTTCATGACATTTCGGCTGTTGTACACTCTGGCATTCTTCAGGATCTGTCTATATGTCTGAGATGATTTATTGTAACTATTTACACTATTCAGACTGTTGTCCTCATCTTTACTGTCACGTTCACATTTGTGTTGTACACTCTGGCATTCTTCAGGATCTGTCTATATGTCTGAGATGATTTATTGTAACTATTTACACTATTCAGACTGTTGTCCTCATCTTTACTGTCACGTTCATGACATTTCGGCTGTTGTACACTCTGGCATTCTTCAGGATCTGTCTATATGTCTGAGATGATTTATTGTAACTATTTACACTATTCAGACTGTTGTCCTCATCTTTACTGTCACGTTCATGACATTTCGATCTGTCTATATGTCTGAGATGATTTATTGTAACTATTTACACTATTCAGACTGTTGTCCTCATCTTTACTGTCACGTTCATGACATTTCGGCTGTTGTACACTCTGGCATTCTTCAGGATCTGTCTATATGTCTGAGATGATTTATTGTAACTATTTACATTGTTCAGACTGTTGTCCTTATCTTTATCATATTTACAACATTTTGGCCATTATACAGTCCGACCTTCTTCAGGTGATATGTGTTGGAATTTTGAACTGAGCCCTTCATTTTGTCTACTGGGGTAGATTGTTCTCATGCCTTTTCTGGATATCTCAGTTTCAGTAACTCAACTTTCAACCCTCCATGTTTTTGTTCTCTGCTGTGGCCAGATATTGAACTCATAACTCTTTGGGTCATATTACTTGATTACTTCAACCAATGCTTTTATCCACTGAACCATGGATCTTTATGCGTTCAATCAAGTGTGTAGCATCTGTGATTTTCATTGAGTACACCTTTAGCATACCCCAGTAAAAGAGTCAATTCTTTCTTCCTTCGACAAACCATGTTTAATCTGTGAAGGTAAAAAAATATAGTTAATGAGATATCCTGTGTGTCCAGACTTTAGGGACCCCCTATATAGCTGGGGTGGGGGGAGCAGAGGTGATGAAGTCATGCCTTTGATGATGTACAGTCAGTCAGTTATATACCAAATTTTTTCCCACTGTATGTTGCCATTTCTTTCTGTAGTAGACCAGTTGCCATCCAAGGCTATAGAACCCGGTCTGTCCTGCTATTTACCTAAAACTGGGGGGAGAAAAAGAGGATTCATACATTTCCGAAGGGTTTTAGCATGTAAATGAATGTAATGGTTTTGACTGGAATTTGAACTCGACTCTCTGATTTCTCAGTCCAAGCCGCTATCCATTAGTCCACCGTAACAATTAAGACAGCTACACGTGTTAATATCCTAACTTGTCCATGATTTTTTTTAATATCTGTTGAACAATTTTTTCCTTTTCTGAAGGTTTCTTTTTTTTTCCACAGGTTTCAGCAGGATAAATTTACAAGCCCAGTGAAGCAAAATGATGACAATTTTTACAGGCATGACAGATCATCAGATAAGAAATGGAAGTCCCTCATTTCACACGCTCCTTTCTGTCACCATCCGTTCCTAACTGGTTTTTCTTGGGATCAAACATACACTGCTGAGAAAACCATCTTGGAATTGGGGTTCATCAATTCCTTATTTTCAATATGTCCAAGGAAACTGATCCGACGAAATTGGTAATCAAACTATAGCCATGTTACCCCCAAGATTCGAAAAAGCATCCAACACTTAGAAGTCAATATATGTTCCTATAAATATATATATATATGTGTGTGTGTATATATATATATACATATATATATATGTATATAAATATATATATATATATATATATATATATATATATATATATACACACACACACACACACACATGCTTTTCAATCATGAAAATTTCTAAGACAAAGTTATCTAACTGTGAGGTGAGGATGTATAATATTTATGCATTTACAAGATAAATAGGTGATTAAATTCATTTTCCTTTTTTTTTCATTTTTTTTTTTTTACAAACTGTTGTATTGATTATTGCTGATAGCCACCTCCTTGCTAGAGATTCACTTTCTGGCCATTTTTACATTTATATAAATAGCATCCCGGAAAGGGATAACGTCCAATTCCTGCATCATTAAGTCTTCGTTCAACTTGAGTTGGTCCCTTCACTTTATAAATATCTATCTATACTAATTAACTGGTCTCACATTTCGATATGTATTTGTTCAACAGAGATCGGCACTTGGTACCTTGTTCCATTGGTAATCATCTTTTTTCTTTTTTTTTTTTAAATGAATTCCAAAGAATTAGAATTATTGTTATCAAACAATAGAAATGTAGATAGAAACTCTACTATCAATTGTGACCCAATGCTTGTGTGCTAAAAGTGGCTTAACTTGTAAAATAAATAGAAATAAGTTTCAAAAATGGGCAAACACCTTTCCTCTCTGAGCTACAACAAACCAATTATATATAATATCCTTCTGCCAAACATATTTCACCAAAACACAGTCTCTCAAATCCAAAATGGTGGTCATCTCTCTCTCTGTAAAGCCCGCCTTTCTTTCAAGGGGGATTAACTAAACATATCTTAGTTCATTGATCATGTGCATTACCAATTGTTTTAACATGAAATAAGTCTTCAAGACAAAAATTAACACTTCTCCTTTTTACTAGTAAATTCATCAATATTCATTTTTTATAGATATATATAAGACCTACCTAAGTCTGGCACATAGCCACATGTGTGGTCACTTAGTGAGGAACAAACTTACTACTGATGCTTTGCAAGAATAACTTGTGAGTCATTATTCCATACTGAGATACCAATCAGATTTAGTTTATAAAACAAGTGAAATACACTGACATTCCATCCATGATACAAGGTAGGTGAGGTTCATTAACACAATAACTGTCGGAAAGAAGGATTAGTTATCAGAAATTGTAACAAGCTTTAGAAGATATTACTGAGCAAGTTTTTATCTAATTCTGAAAGAAAAAACTGAAAAGATTGTACGTGGTTTTTAAGACTAGCAATTTTTCTGATGGTCAATATCTAGAATAAATTTTGTTTGACTGTCAGCCAAAGTTGGAAATGAGCATTGACTCTGGGTGGCTTTTCTAGATTAATGATGTTGCTCTTCTTTGAAACTTTAAATAAAAAGAAATGGATGTATTGACCTACAAGATAAATTTTATTGTAAATTGTATCTTCTATTATATTTTAGTAATCCCGTCTTTTTCATTGGAGCTGGAAGCTATAAGTCACCTTGTGACATTATTGTTATTTACTAAGTATGGCACAACACCATCAATATGTTGGATGCAGAGAAGATAAAACTTAAATGATTAGTTCTTTAATGAGATTGCTCCGTTGACAGTTTAGGAGCTGACATCTTACAAAGGTTGTGCTGATACTTTGTTACCTCATTGGCATAAACACTAATTTTCCATTTAAATCACTATGTAAAAAATTTTTTTTTTTTTGATATGTTTAAAAAAAAAAGGAGACATTCTTCATTGACATCAGGACAAACATCTTGCGTAAGATGTAAAATTCCATGTTTGTTTGGTTGAGAGGCATTTTACATTTTGCCAAGATTGTTTTAGATTTAAAATCAAATATTGATTGCTGTTTGAGAAGACTGTCCATTGGCTTACATAACCATAATCAATTCATAGATGGGAGACTTTGTTATTTGAGAGTCCGTTCAAAAACACTGGTTGCAAATCTTCGATCATTCACCATTTTGCTGCCCTATCATCACAAGTAAATCGTAGCACTCTTTGTAAATAATCATAAATGAAAAGCAAATAAACAGACATCCAAACTCTATTCTTGGCTGCTCTGCCCTACAGCAGGGACAACTTTTTTTTTTTCACATATATAAAAGCAGAAACTGACTTGTGATTTATTTTTGTATTTTATGTGGTTATCTTGCAACAAAAAAAAAAAAATTAAAAAAAAAAAAGAACAGGCTTAATAAAAAAAAAAAATCTGAGCAAATAAAAACACTTCCCACAAAAAAAAATCCCCTTACCAAAGAAAATAGAATAAAGTAAAAGCCTTCTCCCAACCAAAAAAAACAATCATGTTTACCCCTCAACCAGTTTATCGGACCACTACGATGGATGAGGACGAAACTCAAAATTTAGACTTTGATAGTCACCAATCGTCAACCCACCAAGATAGATCACACAAGTCGGACCCCGTCTCGAAAAAAGAACTCCATCCTCACGAAACACACCAGCAGCAGCATCAGCAGCATCAGCTGCCACAACACCAACAACAGCAGCAGCATTTATCTTCCGCCAGATTGTACACGGGCCATAGTGACAAGCCAAAAAGTCTGATTCCGAGCACCCTGCCGGCATCAGCTAGCTTCATTGCCCCGTATATAACTGGAACCACGCCCAGTGGCAAAATCATTGTCGACTCACCCTACTTTGGTTTGAGCCTTAGTGCCAAGAAGCCCTACAAGTGTGGCACGTGCCGTAAGGGGTTTGCGCAGCGGGGTCACTTGATCAACCATGAGCTGGGTGGCCGTAAGCACTTCTTCTGCACGTTTTGCAACAAGGCGTTTTCGCAGGAGATCATCTTGCGCAACCACATACGGACACATACAGGTGAGCGGCCATTTCATTGTGGCTACTGCAATCGGACATTTTGCCAGGTGACAGAGTGGAAGAACCACGAACGGACGCACACAGGTAAGTGCCAACAATGGCCTTTGTTGTTTTTTTATTTATCTGTGCTCTTTTTTTTTTTTTTAATATTGTATATTTGGCCAGCAAACTTTCTTTTTGTAGTTGATTTGAATTTGATTTTGTATCTCAAGTTTAAAGCACGACAAACTGTTTGAAAGTCAAAATACTACAAATCCAGTGGGGAGGGATGGGCAGAAAGAAATGTCACAATCAAGAATCATACGTCCAGTATCAAGAAATCCCAGCACATGTCAAACCGCTATCAATTCACTGCACTGTTCAACTGTCAGATTCAAAAACTGCGCCTTGAAAAATGTCTTCTTTATTTATATCAGTTACGAGCTAACGCATGCAAATCACCAACAGTTTTTAAAAATCTTTGTCCCAAAAGTTGGCTCCCTGTGCCGCGTCAGGAAATTTTTCTCCCTGGAATCGATCCTCCAGATCTACAAATCAACAATTCGCCCTTGCATTGAGTATTGCTGCCATATATGGTGTGGAGCCCCTTCTGTTTGCCTCGGGGTTCTTGATAGGCTCCAGAGGCAGATATGCAATATAATTGGCCCTGTTCTGGCATCTTGTCTATAGTCACTCTCTCACAGATGTATCGTCACCTCTCTCTGTCTTTTTTACAAATACTTTCATGGCAATTGCTCTGAGGAGCTGCATTCACTGGTTCCCAGACTTCATGAGTTCAAGTGCACTACAAGGCTGGCATCCCGCTCTCACCCTTTCACTATCAAAACTACTAAATGTAGCCATCTCTTCTACTCCAATAGCTTCATGTCTCACCTGTGGAACTCCCTTCCCTATTCCAGTTTCCCTGAGAGCTATAATCTCCAACTATTCAAATGTAATGTCAATCGACATCTCCAGTTGCCTTGATCTATCCACTATTCTTCTCCTCATCCTTTCCTCTATCACTCCTATCTGATCTTGCTCCAAATTTTCTGTAACCCCTTGCGTCCTAGTGGCTTCCCAACTTGCTTGGGGTGAAACGCTTAAAAAAAAAAAAAATGCATACACCATGATGGAATTACAAATGGCGACCCTGACCACCCCTTGGTCCCACTTTGGTACACTTTTTATACATGTTTCATTGAATGTTAAAGACAAGGAAATTACATGTTTTTTTATTTTTAAAATTTTTCTCATGTCTTTTGTAAGATGGGGGCGGCTAAGGGAGTGTCAAAACTGTCTGTAATGATTATTATCCCAAGTGCTTTCGGCCAATTCATTAGCCATTTACAACAGGTTTGTTGTTAATGTTTTCAATGCTTGTACTCTAAAGTATATTGTGTGTAAGTAGCAGACCAAGTATTTTAATACTGGTTCCCATACTGGTTCTAGAGAAAAACAATGAATAACAACAAAAATTGCAATATAAGCTCTGGTAAAAAAATGAAAATAATAATAATAACAACAAAAATTGCAATATGAGCCCTGGTAAAAAATGATTGCTGAGACATTTGGTTTATAAGTCCCAAAACTTCATACATTATCAAGGACACATGGACCAATAGATAAATACATTGGTTAGACCCAATGACTAGACCCAAAGAGTTGTGAGTTCAATACAAGGCCACAGCAGTGGTGAATCAAAAACTTGGAGAGTTGAGTTCAAGGGAAATAACTGAGACATCTGGAAGAGGCATGGCATATGGAACTAGAACAATCTACCTCGGTGGATGAAATAAAGGGTTTGGTTCGAAATTCCAATCACCTAAAGTATGGAGTATACAATGGCTGAAACGTGAATATAGCAATGAAGATGAGGATAACAGTACAAATAATGTAAATAATGCAATAATCATAATACCTCATCTCATAGATATAGATATATATTGTAGAAACAGTACTTGTAGAAATTCTAATCAATGATTCCATATTAGAATGTCTTACAAGACAACCAACACATTACTTGCATTTTCAAATAGAATAACATTGAGGCTTGGCGTAAATTGTTTTATACAGTGTGCAGAAGAAATACCTCCCATAAGTTAAAGGTTGATAAAAATTCCAAGGTAACTGCTATTAAAAACATTATTTTACTGTTGTTTAGACAAAGGGCTACAGTTTTTATTCATTTGGTTTTAAAGACGTCATCCTCCAAATGGTGGCCTTTATTCACCAAATATTGCTGTTGACAATTTCTTGAGTTTTCCATCACACAAACGTTGCTCTCTTTCAAGGGCTGAATCTATGGCTTTGAAATTTTCAACCCATAGCAATATCAATTTTCTATAAGAACAGCATCATTTCAATGTAACATGAAATTAGCATGAAAACTCTCTGCATTGCAATTACAGATTCACCAGTCTTGAAAAACATTAACGTACAGTGTGGACCTGTCCAAGCCATAATGGTAACTGATGGTAAGACATTAGCTAGATGAGGACACCATTGCCACTTTCCTAAGGTCACTAGTGCCACATAGGTGACAGTTTATAATGTGGGAGGTATTTCTGCCGCACTTTCTATAAAGAGTCACAATTATCTTAAGACATCTTTTACAATTAAATTTATTTATTGCCATTCTCGTCTCGTATCCAAGAATTTAATTTCTTCTTTGCTGATCACTTCCTTTATGATGATGATGTTGATGACTAAATTTGCCACCAATATGCAGGTTCAGAACTAAAAGCTTCCTGTTTCACCAATAGACTGAAGCATTACAACAAAATTACATTTCAAACTAGTCACAACACATTACATTGCATCTAGACATTGGTTCTGTTGTAATACTTTGGTCAATCAGGTGCTATGACATCATAGAACCACATCTTGAACTGACTATCTGTGTCTGTTATTCCACAACCGTTAATGTTGCATAGCAAAATAACAAAATATCATCTTTCATATTTCTTGGAATAATTTGGTAAAGAATGTTGATTATTTTTGTTTTGTTGAACATCATTTTTATCCCAACTGTGAATTCTTATGTTATCAGAATAGCCACCTTCTCTGTCACTTTTAATGAAACTTGTTTCAAAGAGGGATTGCTACCAAAATGCACAATTATTGATATATATATATATATATATATATATATATAGAGAGAGAGAGAGAGAGAGTGTGTATTGGGGCAGCAGATCATTATTTAAGCATATATTATTAAATATAACAAACAATGAATGTCTATTATGTCTGATCAGGAGCCGTTCTAATGTTCAAATGTTTGCTTTAATTTCTGGTGAAAATAAAGATAAATTGTCCAACATTTTGATATTTTTTTATTAAGTTGGTCCTAAGCTTTCGGCTCACATGAGCCATCCTCAGTGTGGTTATACAAACATGAAACAAAGATATCCACCATCAAAGATGATATTTTGTTATTTTAACATAGAAGATTGCTATGCGACGTTAATAGTTGTAGAATAGCAGACGCAGATTGTAAGTTCAAGATGTGGTTCTATGACGTCATTACCATGCAACAGACTGAAGTATTGCAACAGAACCAATGTTTAGATGCAATGTAATGTGTTGCGACAAGTTTGAAATGTAATTTGGTTGAATGTTGGTTGTGTTGTTTTAATGTAGATGGCCTCCAATATCTAAAGGTTTTTACTGTGTGTATGTGTGAGTATTATTGTGTTATCAACTAATATCTGTCTAATATTATGTAGAAAAACATAGCCATATACATAATAAATATATCCAAATTTTGGACAAATTTGTCTTTATTTTCACCAAAAATTAAAGCAAACATTAGAACGGTTTATGATCAGACATAATAGACATTCATTGTTATATTTAATAATATATGTTTAAATAATGATCTGCTGCCCCAATATGTATATATATATATATATATATATATATATATATATATATTATTTTTATTTGAAAATTATAACATAAATATGTGTCTTATCAAGTGATGGTGAACCCTTTATTCTACATTCAACACCATCACTTGATAAGACACCAGAAATGTTGAAACAAAATGGCTATTTTTGTAGTGATTTTATAACATTTTTATGTTATAATTTTCAAATAAATAATTATATTTGCTCTACTCTGTATTGAGCACTCTTTTAAGAATAGTATTTGTTGGTTATTGGAATTTATTTCGTATACACCAATTTTATGTTTATCTATAAAAAAGAACGTATAAACATAAAAATATCTTAAAATAATTGCCGGACTTTGTCCATTTCATAACGTGTGATGTCATTTGTTTACATTTGGATACACTCAAGCAGATATGAATGTATGTGAGAAAATCATGGAAAATTGTAGTTTAAAAACAGTAAAATTGACCTTGCTAACCGAAACGCTTTTTTTCGTTGGGCCTTAGACTCGTATGCTGGACGATTATTTTCAGTTAACGTACATGTTCTTGGTTCTTTCTTTTTTTATATCTTTTTTTCTCTTTTGGTATTGACTTGTTTATTTGCAAATCAACACACCGAAGGTTTTCTGAGCGAGTATAGTTTCTTATACTTATAAGATCTCTATTAATATATATATATATATATATATATATATATATAAACCTAAAGATCTAGGCAAACCTACCTGGTTGTTTTTGGTTTAAGGTATATATTCTGTTCCACTTTTTACCTTTTTGGCCAGTTTTACCCTGACGATCCGTTTAGGTGAAACCTAGGTAGGTTTACCTGGCCCTTTAGGTTTATATTAGGTTTGCTCTACTTCGTGTATTGAGCACTTTATGTCGTTGCTTTTAGTCATTTTGGAGGTTTTTTTTCTTTTGATTCTGAGCTTGAACTCTGGATGATTGTTTTTGCCTTAATTTCATGTTCATGGTTCTTACTTTTTTTTATTCTTCATTTTTCCTTGGTTTGTTCCGAAATGCTCAAGGTTTTTCCAAACACGTACCACTATTTATATATATATATATTCAATTTTCCTCTTGCCAGGCAATAATATTTTGTTCCAGAACAATGAAGGCTCCTTGAAATGTTGATGATCAAAGAGTAGATAGACTTCACATGACTGGCCTTTAGAAGTCCAAGAATGCAGCCCTATATGCTAGTGTC